TTTTTTTTTTGTTTCTCAATTGCAGCTTATTATTATCACTATTTATTTACTATCACTACGAATTTACAAGTTATTTGGTTTTACAAATTTAGCAGCAGTTGTCATTTGTCTGCCACCACTGATACATCTTTTTCCTGTTTTTAGTGAGAGACTGTCAATATACTGTGTACTCTCAGTTGAGGATACAAGATACGGTATGAAACTCCTGCTGTTCAAACTTGGTGATTAGCGCTAGAAAGAAAAGAAGAGTACATTTTTTAATTTACAGTGACTGCAAGAAATAAAACCATATCAAATAACAGTTTTTGTTCTCAAACTTGGATTAAAGCAGTAGACGAAAAGAATTACCGCGTGCAACAAAGCTTAACACCTAGTCCAAAAAAAAAAAATATCATTATTATGAAGCAAAAGGAATCTTGAATGAAACTTAAATCAGCAAAAATCAACTTCTCGAAAGAACAAAGTACCTAAGTAATATTTTGTTTACGTTGGCTTTTAAAACTGTTAAATATCTAGAGAATAAAATACTCCCACAATTGCGTGCCAATAAGTTTGATATTACGAAGATAAGAGGATCACTTAAAATTCAAAGCCATTTCATATGTCTTGCAGACCTGATTCTATCTGTACTTTAAGCCACTAATAAATTAGTGAAACTTATTTTAGTATAAAAGACTGAGAAAAGAATAATACATGGGACGTCCATGAAACAGTGAATCAAACCATTTAGAATGAGCAGTACTCGTAAAAGAGAAGAAAAAAACTTTTTCAACTTTGCCATTTTCAAACCACTGCAGAAAGTTGGCTTTTAAGACCACTGCAGGGACTGAGCAAAACGAATTCGTTTCTGAGTAGTATCACGGCAGAACAAATACTTGTATTCTTCACCGTAAAAAATAACCAAGGATTCCTCGGGATTCTTTTGTAGCATCACGTTTCAAATGTTTTTTAAAGCGTTTCAAGTGTATCAACACTTTTTTGCAGCATCTATTTTCTTAGGGAGTGGAAAATGCAAAACTATTTTGTTGCGTAAAAAATGCTTTGCGAAGAAAGCAGTTTTCTAAAGTGAGATCTTTTCATAGTTATTTCAAACTAAGTATTCGTGAGAAACGTATACATATACATGTATTTAAAAAGATAGCACAAGCGAAGAAAGTTATCATATCGCGAAATTTAAACTGAAGATGATCTCTTAGTGGGTTTCGCTAGTTTCAACTAAGCGCATCAAAGTTGATACTGACAGTAATTTAAAAGTAACACTCGATATGAGAATGTGATAAAAGAAAAGTTCCGCTAACGTCACGTTATGGCATTGTGTGTCGTCCTTTTTCCGAGGAAAGAAGGGTATGAAAAATGGTTTGCTGATTTACTCTCACTTCTGCGCTGTCTTCGTTAATTTATACTACCTTAAACGACGCCAATGAATAACCTTTTATGTTTACCCTTCCCAGTGCCAAACAGTATACCACAGCATTCAGTTTATACAATCTGCTGGGTTTAACATCACAAAACATAAGTTTCAGTCGCCAGAAATTACATTTGCCGTGAAGCAGGTTCAAAATACCAAAATGAATTATCAGTGGTAGCTTGTAAACACCTTTTACAAAGTAACTAAATGTTCTAAATACAGTTTACTAAGTTATAAACAGAGAATTCATAAATCCTCTCTTTGAAACAGTAACAAACTTAACCTTGTATCATCTCAATTTCAGAAAAACTTTTCTTATTTCTATATGTTTGAAATTGTGCAAAGATTCCCAACTGCAGTAATTTGTAAGACTAGCAAAAACTTTTTCTCATAAGTCTTCTTACTCAATTGATGTCAAACGAAATAGGACTTTGCTACAGGACTTTGCTCCATGAAGTTTGCATTTCCCCGTCACTTTTTATCGTTTCATCCCGCTAGTTTCTACAAGCTCCACATTTCTCGGAACATCCCTTACTTGTGTTACAGTCTTTGCGGAGAATCATTGTTCAAAAACCATTCGACTAAACAAGTAACATTACGCACTCAGTAACCTGCAGTACTCTTTACTCAAAAAATCGTGCTGCATTCGACAGCTCCATCCAAGATGCTCATTCCGTGAACTAGGCAGCTATATTAATTAATTCGCGTCGGCTTTCTGCTGAACTTTGTGCTCCTTGTTACATTGCTGGATTTTCTAGATGCCGTAACAATTTAATTGTAGTTTACCGTCGTTTCCAAGGAGGACAACAAGGAGCGGGAGTAATAAAATTGTGGTTTTGTTATGCTTATAAGGTTCTTATAAGGCTCTACTGCTAATTTTGTCACTGTTTTCACTTTATACTCTCCCGGACACCACGCCAAACATCTCTTCCAAAAACAATTATTTCACGCACGTCGGGATCGCAAACATTTTATATATTTGAAATATTCTGGGTTTAACCATGCTAGTTTCTTGATGCTGCTTAAAATAGTCCACGAGAAACCTTTGTAGGAGATTAGACCCTAAACTTAATTTAGTAATTAGCAAAAGACAACAGTAAGTGAAGGATGTGTACTGTAGTTTGGTGGATTAAGATTAATAGAATATTTTAAACTGTGAAGTGATATTGTGCAGCTTTTCCATAATAATGACTTAATATAACATTTCAGAATTTGACTCCTAACCCAGAACCAGAAAGCCTCTATTACTGATAACTGACAACTAAATGAATGCAGTCGCAGCACTCCTACTCCTCTCGATTTGACCACTTCATCCACAACACATTTCAAGTAAATTTTGTCATGTCATGAGATGCTTTATCTGACCGCCCTCAGCGTTCCAACTATATTCAAAGCTGAGTCGAGATAAAAGGATTTTCAATGAAGCAAACTCCCCCTCACTGCCCCTATAGAGCCTGTGGTTGGATATGGCCTATGCACCTTATTTGATATACAGTATTATCTATGATGCCCGCAACGTTATCCCGCCCTTATCCGTCATTCATTTGGGCCACAAACTTCTCATACCAGGTCCTATACACATCGAAGATCATTTCACTCCATTAATTGGCGCTCTTTCTTTTCTTCCTTTATATCACTTTTCTGCTATATAAATTAGGTTGGATTTGATAAAACAGTTCAATTATATAATGACCATTCCTTCCCGGCAAGGCGAAGTAGATGCCACTTTGCGAGGTGTGAGGATCTATGCAACTTTCTCTGTCTTTGCATTTTCTCATGCCCCATTTAAGTCCAAAAACAATTTTTTCAAAACACTTTTTTCCCTCGGCACGACGGTACTGCTTATTGAAAAAGCGTACAACCATTCGGTGCCTTTGGTGCAACTTCTGTAATGAGCGGGAGTGTTAATTCTAAGATGATGCCAACATTTGACTCCTTTCCAAGAAAAAAATTTTCTTTGAAATTTAAATAACACAATATTTCTATATACGACTTTTCTTGAGTCTGCAAACTTTACGTAGTTTAATACAATGTTTTTTTGAAAATGGTACAGTTGAAAGCAGCTTAATACAAACCATCAATCCAGGCGTAAATGTTAAAAAAAATGATATATCTGCGAGTAATCTCTCTTAATACTCTCAATATGATTATTACAGGTAGTCCCTTTTGAGGTTAATCTGTATCTTCGCCAGACTCGAATTTATTTATTGTTTGAATTCATCAACGATTATCAGCTTATGGACTACGTACAAAACGATGACCTGCTCTTGCACTAAAATTCGTGAAAAAAATTCTAAAACTCGTAAAACTCGTCTATCATAATTAAAATATAAAATAAGTTAATTTTCAAAGAAAATTTCAAGAAAGGAGGGAAAAAAATCATTTTGGTTTCTGTAGGCAGTTGCGGACAAATGTAAACTGGTATGTAATACTGTGGCCACAGGTGATATATGTATAAGGCTCCGAAGGAAGAATTCTTTGAGGCACCTGGATGCGACGAAGGATTAAGGAAGTGCATGAACAGCATAAGATTCAAGGTTAGTTGCAAAAGTTGTAGCAAACTATGACAATAAGGGCAAGTGACAAGATTTCTGACACCGTCTAACCTTCTTTGGTAAATTTTCTTAACCATAAGCAGCTATATGTCTAGTTTTCGTCCATTTCTAGCCTGGCAAAACTGGGCAAATACATAAGCATGCGCTAAAATGAAGGCAAAAGAGCAGAAAGGAAACAATCTGGTGGGACGGCAATGATAGAATTTCCACGCATCTCAGCTTTCCGCGGAAAAGTTTTAAAGGCATAAATTCAACAATTTTCCTTCGGCCTTTGCATTAGACAATACTTTTGGCAAATTTCCAATGGAACGAACCTTTTTTACGAATTCTTCGCAATTTCATAGGATATTTTTTCCTTTTTCCTGACCAGCATTTATATATATACACTATATTCAGTCAGTTTTGGATCCGGATGGTTTTACTTAAAGTCTCTTCCAAGAAAGAAATTGGTTTCATGTGAAATTGTATAAAGATTTGCCGTCAAACGTCTATCTTTTTTTGTCAGTCTTGATCTCCTTCCGAACGCATGGAACGAAGACCTTGCCTAAAAGACCTCTGCTTATACCTTTTGAACATCAGCGAAGAAAGCAGTTTCTAGATTAGTGGAATTAGAGTCGTACTGTCCGTAAAGGAGAAAAACAACAGAATATCCGGGGTATTTTACGCATCGAATGTTTTTTCCAGTTTGTTATGTCCCACTGCAGCCTTGTTTTCTTCTATTTCCTTTTCGATTTTAGCGTCTGGATATTGCAGCACTTTTACTTGGTGTTGCATTACATCTCCTCTGCAAAATCAGATTTCCCTTGCGGTACACCCTTGGTCTTCAACTTCCATATTGGGTCTGGTGAGCGTCTGAATTGCTCAGGTTTTTTAAAATACTTCTTGGTAATTAGGAGGTTTTTCGTTACTGGAGTATTTTTCGCAAATTTCACTATCCACTGCAAAATGTTTTTCTGTTACTCTCCAATCGGGTTCCATTTTTTGAATTTAGGATCTCGAGTTCGTTGCTATGCTTTTTATTTTAGTCTTATTCATTTTTTAGACATGGTTTCTTAAAAAGGCAAATATTTTTTTTAATGCTTCTTGAAACTGTTTAGTAACTGAAATTTTATAATGACATTTGGAATTACCCTTTTTTTAATTCACTTTGTCAGTATTAAATCTTGTTACTTTTCTTTTTACTTTATGAAGCAAAATATTTGGTGAAATTTATTAAAAAAGAAGTATGCGTAGGAGGAAGAAAATAATCTTTAAAAAGAAGTTTTTTGCCGTCGTAAGTAAGCTTCTCTTAATCATTAAAGAAGGCAATAAAAAAAGTAAATATTAGAGCAGTTCAATGCCAAATCGCACATTTTTTTTTTTCACTTAATATGTTAGAATTTTTTCAAACTTTGCTGTTTTATAGAGTTTGAGCCAGTATACAGGAATACGAAGACGGGATCTAGAAAAGTGAGTTCCCTGCCAAGTTATGCCCTCTCAAAGTTGCAAAATTTACCAGGTTATTGCTTGTATTTTGGGACTTGCAGTTCGACTTAGCGTCAATATAATTCGATAAATGTTAGCTTATTGAACGTGTTATTTCTTCTTCTCTAAAGAACGCATTAGACAATTTAATTGTGTTTTACAGTTCTACAGATACAATAAGAACCAAATTTTGAATAAGTG